CTTTACTTTATATACCTTGTTTTTATACTTTTCTGCTGGATGGTTAAGACCAAGATAAAGCAAGACCTGTATAACAAGAAATGTAACTTCTGTATCTAATAAGATCAATCAAGTATTCTCAGGATTTATCCTGTAGCCCTGTATCACACTTTGTAGATCCTTTGTCAGTGTCAGTCATGAGGATGAGTCACAGCCATTGCTTGACCAATTTGCTCTCTGTGAAAGCCTGAGAGAATGTTAAAAAAAAGGGGGGGGGATACAAGGAAAGATCATTTTGTATTTATATATACAAAATAGGATAAATATACAGCTACTTTCGCTTAATTCAATGAGAAGAAAGAGGTGTACTAACAGTGTTTGGACAGAATATCCTGTCTGCTTCTTGTACTATGGATAACCACAAGAAGATAACAATGTACAGTGTATTGATTATCGAAACTGCCCTATTAATCAGCTTAGAAACTGTCTCATATTTATTTCTCAATTAAAAAAAAAAGAATTAGCTAAAAAAAAAAGACCAAAAAAACCCCTAATAGAATCTGAAAGGTACAGTAGATACTGTGAAAGAGAAAGAAACTGTTCAAAGGGAAGGAACAACTGGGATGAGGGAAAGGAGAAAAAAAAGAAAAAAGGAAGGGAAAAATATATACGTATACACATAGGCTAGCTTGTATAATTGTACTGCTGATTTCTGCTGGTCTATTGAAATGAGCAGCTAATGCTGAAATTTGTTTCTCTTTTAATCTTTTATAATTTTTTTTGGCCAATCTTACAGGCACCTATCTGGTAATCTGACCAGCTAATCTGAAGATAACAATATGCAATAAAACAACCATTGTTGAATTCTAAAAAAAAAAGGTCCTGAGTTTGATTCCCCAAATATCACCCCCTGTCATCTCCCAGGGCCTCTAGCTGGAAGCCTCTGTGACCCCAGGCCTTTACTAGTTAGTGCCAGGCCAGGCAAAAGCTGTGAGGTCCTAGGGCTGCCATACCCTGCAGCTCTTTTGGGACCAGCTGATGAAGGTGGAGAAGGGGCCTACAACCTAGTCCTGGCCCACGGGGCCGAGCGCCCCCTGTGGTGGCTACCATGTCCACAGCCTGTGTTCTGGCTGTACCTCCTTCCCTGGGATCACCTGCTCTCCTGGGATCACCTCTAAATAAACTCCCTGAAGGCTGTGGAATGGGGAGGGGGGGCAGTGCATGACACACAGCAGTGCCCCATACGTCCTCTGGCCAGCTGGCTTGCCTCACAGTGCTGGGGCAGGAAGGCCACAATCAAGGGGCCAGGAGGCCGAGGCTTGGGAAGGGCTACTTCCAGCTTGTAGGTGGCTGCCTGCTGGTTGTCCCAGCATTTGGCAGAGTGGCAACAGATATCTAGTATGATCGTGTACCCCAGGCTGGTCTTGAATCCTCCTGCCTCAGCATCCGGGGTCCTAGAATCACAGGTGTGCACCCCCACACCCAGCTCTCATGTCTTACAAAAGCACTAACCTCCTTCACAAGATCCCCATCACAGTGGTTTCTTTTTTGGTTTTTGGTGGTACCAGGTATTGAACTCAGGACCTCACACTTGCCAGGCAAGCACTTATTCCACTGAGCTATCTCTTCAGCCCCATCACGGTGGTTTCTGTACCTACCAAAGGTCCTGCCTCTCCAGGCCATGCCTCTGAGGGTTAGGATTTCACACAAAAATTTGGAAGTGACACAGCTCAGTCCCCACTAGAGACATTTTACTCTATATTCTCACCCTTTCCCATTATCAAGCCCAGGAGGCCTCAGTGAACATCCACTCAATGACTGAATGAGGTAACATTGCGTTGGTAGGGTTTTCAAGGATAAGTAGGAGTTTACTAAGCAGCAAAAGCACAGTAGGTAGCGGGGCCAGGGCCTGTGTTCAATCCCTGGTTCCACCAAAAAAAAAAAAAAAAAAAAGTATAGTAGTTACTCCAAGCTGAAGCAACAGGCTGGGCTGAGGCCTAGAGGCCTCCCAGCAGGGCCTGCCTGTCTTCCAGGTGGGATACTGGTCCTGACGCAGGGAGGGAGCTTCCTGGAGACCAGGCAGGGGGACCAGCTGCCCTCCCAGGCAGCACCAGGCCCGATCCCACAGAGCCAGGAGCAGCCTGGTGTCTCTGCTCTCAGGAACCCAGCTCCAGTGGCTTAGCCTTCTCTTTTCTCCTTTCCGGCTGACTGGGCTGAGTGGTGTTTATTCAGACTTTTATTTCATTGGTGTTTTTGTTGAAAGTGTAGGAATTATTCATGGCTGGTTTCGGTTTTCTTCTGGCAACAGGGTCTTCCGTCTTCATACTCAAGCTACAAATTATGTGTTAGCTCTGCTTCCCGACAGTCAGCCTGCTCCCAGATGCGGCATAGAGGCCCCAGCTGTCCTGGAAGCCAGAAGCCAGGGCTGGGGGCGCCTGCACCAGTGTTTGTTCTTCACTGGGGAAGGTGACAAGGGGGGCAGCCTGCAGATGAATCCCATCCACATCCTTTGCCTG